AGAGGGGAGGGAGTGGGAGAGGGGGGAGGGAGGGGGAGAAAACATTGTAAACCAGGAGAGGAGAGGAAGGAGAAAAGTTCTTTAGGAAACAACTGTGAAGTTTAATTGATTTTAGAGCTTTATAAACGTTTTAACTCTGAGCTGGAAAATGTTTCAGCGTCGAATAAAGTTAAAAATATATTAGATTTAATATTTAATATGATATGTAGAAAAATACATTATTGATTGGATAATGTTGCTAAATGTTAGCTCGAGGTAAGCTAAGACCTGGATAAGCATCAAACTCTTACATCTTTGGCTGATGGATTTTTTTTTTTTGTAATACAATATAATTATATTGGATTTTTTTCCCTCATTTCTAGTTCTCACAGTGTAAAAGAAAAAATGTTTGTTTCTCACTTTGAAACGTGTGAAGTGTGGTCTCTGTGGTGGGGCCGACACTTCTGTGCCACCTGCCGGAGCCGCACATGTCGCGTTAGCTCGTTGTTGTTGTAGCAGGCCTCACACTGAAGTACCTGACTAAACACTGCTGTGGATTCAGTGTTTTGAAATACAAAAAAATCTTGTTTTTTTTTTGGCATTAAATATTTCTTTCTACTCACTGGAAACTGCAGTTTACTTCACACCTCATTTACAGCTTGTCTCACCTCTGCACCCACGCTGCTCTCACCCACTTATGTGACCCATAATGGTTCCTCAATGTGCCTTCGTTTTTTTTTACACATCCCACTAATTAGCGAAGCATCAGATTATAATGATTGTGTTTGACGATGCATTAATGATTGTTGTTCGGCTGTAAAGTTTGTTTGATCTGGGCGGATGTGTTGGTTATCGTCGGTGCAGATGTAGTATAATCCGGGCCGTACAGATAAGAGGATGTGTACACTTCATGAATGATTTACCCGTAGTACTTCAGAAGAGTTCAGATTACACTGCAGTCCTGATGCCACGACCTCTTTGTTTTTACTCCGAGGTTCGACTATAAAAACACTCTAAGTAGTATTAAGCCCTTTAAAAGCCAGCGTATGTGTGTGTGTGTGTGTGTGTGTGTGTGTGTGTGTGTGTGTGTGAATTCACTATTTTCCGCGGTGTCTGTCTGCGACACACCCTGTACACGGTTCAGCCCATCCTCTGTACGAGTGTGTGAGGCCATGCTAGCAGCTGGTGGGCTCTATAAATAGTATTGTTTTGGGAGTCCTACTGGAAAAACAGAAAAAAAAATCACACAAAAACAGTTCTCTACTCCAGTGTCACTTTAAGAGCGCAGAGTCATCGTTTTGCCATAGCTGATTTTTTTTTTTTAAATAAATTAAGAGAACTGTTGGCCAACACTGAGCGCAGAGTCATCGTTTTGCCGTTGCTGATTTTTTTTTTTTAAATAAATTAAACACACTTTTATGGATGAGCTAATGCTAATGTTTGCCCTGATTTTTTTGTGTTTGGTGATTAGTTTAGTTCTGCTAACCTGGCAGACACATGTAGCACATTCTTTTGTTAGCTAACTAACTGCTAGTTGCAGTTGACCTCCAGCGCGGTTAACATTTTAGCACGAGGCTAATCTGATGATTTGGTTCTGATTGACAGTGCATCTGCGCTAGCGTGAGGATAGTTTAATGCCCCAGGAAACGACCTGAGAGTGATGGGGCACCTGTGGTCCAACCTCAACGCCACTCTTTCACCTCTCCGCTTTCACACGCAGATATACCACACGCTCAAGTACCGAGTACGCGACGTAAGTGCGAAAAAAAAAAAGAAAAAGTGTCCAATCTGAGCCGTGTGGCTGCCCCTCTTCAGTGGTAGTTTTACCCCCTGACAATTTTTCATCTGGCCTCACCACCTGTTGTCAGCTGTATTTCACGCAGCCTGTGCACTCGGCAGCCTTCTGTTTGGCCCCTCCATAGGCACCGCAGTGTACAGTTGTGCTGGTAGAAGGTATAAGAGCCGACCCAACCCCCCCTAGAGGCTGAAATCCCATCCTGATCCAATTACTTCCAGCCAGGGCTGCGATCAGACAGAATCTGCTGTGACTGAGACTCGACTTAACAGAAGTATTACATGATGGACAGATACAGGCTCAACTTCATGGCCCAAAGTGTAAACAGCTCTTATTGGCCAGTCGATGACCTGGTGGTTGGACTAGAGGATGTTAGGGTGTTTGGTACTGGAAAATCACAGTTTGAATCCTGAGTGACGGTCAGAAATGCCCCCTCTGAGAGCATCACTGCTCCAGCAGTGAGTTAAATATAGAGCTGGTCTCCAACTATATTTGTCAGAGGGCGGGAAACCCTGGCTCTCCAACTTATATTTGTCAGAGGGCGGGAAACCCTGGTGTCCAGACGCTCACATAAAAATCACATTTTTATCCAACATTATTATTTTGGTATCCAATCGCGGGCCATATTGGATGGTTTGGTGGGCCGAATCCGGCCCTCGAGCCGCCAGTTGATGATCACTAATGTAGAGTATGTGTCTGTAAGTGTATGTTGACCACAAGGGGCAGATTCTTCCTCTTCTATTAAGCGTAGCTCATATAGCACGTATCGGCTGGACCACCTTTTAAAGTCTAACTAAAGTGTTTCTCTGCGGCTCCTGATTGGTTACAGAGGCACAGCTGTGTCCAATGGGAATTCAATGAATTCCAGATAAAAAAATTAGAGTCAACCTTTTTCTTTTCAAGCAGGTTGAACTGACATTTGCACTTCTCTTCTTCCAGACGGCGTTCACAGTGTCGTGGCCCTGTGCACGCTCCGTGTCACCATCATCACTGACGAGATGTTGACCAACAGCATCACCGTGCGTCTGGAGAACATGTCCCAGGAGCGCTTCCTGTCGCCGCTGCTCAGCCTCTTCCTAGAAGGCGTCGCAGCCGTGCTCTCCACCAAGAGGGAGTCGGTGTTTGTCTTCAATATCCAAAACGACACGGACGTGCAAGGGTCCATCCTCAATGTCACATTCTCGGCAATGCAGTCTGGCGGCGCTCCGGGGAAGGGGACCTTCTTTCCTTCGGAAGAGGTGCAGGAACAGATCTACCTTAACAGGACTTTCATATCCTCTCAGGAGGTTTGTCTTTTTAAATCTCAGCAAAAATGTTACTGGATTTAATGATATTTTTGTTCTTCTGGTCCTCAGTTCCTAAACCTAAATCTGCGTTCCAGGTTTTGCCGTTTGACGACAACATCTGCCTGCGGGAGCCCTGTGAGAACTACATGAAGTGTGTGTCGGTGCTGAAGTTCGACAGTTCCCCTCCCTTCATCTCCTCCGACACGGTTCTGTTCCGACCCATCCACCCCATCAACGGGCTGCGCTGCCGCTGTCCGGTCGGCTTCACCGGGGACTACTGCGAGACGGAGATCGACCTGTGCTACTCCGGCCCGTGCAAGAACAACGGCAAGTGTCGCAGTCGAGAAGGAGGCTACACCTGCGAGTGCTTGGAAGACTTCACCGGTGAGTACAAACGTCTGATTTAACGCATACAATTGAACAGTTCATGCAAATGGGTTTTTTTTTAATGCTGAGTAAAGATTTTTCATAATTAATCACATGGTTTTCTGCGATTTATCACATTATTATGTTTAATAACACGAGGAACTAAAATAGTGTATTGCATGGGTTTAATATAAAAAGTTACGCACATGCTTTCAATAGTGGGTTGGCAACAAAAAGGTGTCAATTTTCTTGCAGCAACGGCATGTATCACAGAGGTAGTGATACTTCAGATTCAAAGTACGAATTGGTTTTTATCATTTTACTGTCTTGAAAA